AAACTAAAGTAAAGTTATATGAACTAACAGCCCAGGTCGTGCATTGCCTAAACAATGATGCGAGCTTATAAATTTACTGCGTATTTGAGACAATTTGTGAGTCAAATACGCAGGTTTTCTGCATCATGGCAAACACTGCATAATCATAAGTACTAAACTTTATTTTGGCACACGTTAGTTGTTGATGGGTGGCACTTTGTTGAGCATTTCATTCCTTGTTTTTTGCACCTACATCTGTTTGTTACACAGCTCCCCTTGCAAGAACATACAGTTGATCCTTGTGTCCTACTTACTGTCCAACCGTTGTTCATTCTTGAAGCATGGATGAGACTGATTTCGTCAAGACTGTGGACATCCTTTTGCTCCAATGATGGAAAAAAATTTGGACTCCACTCAAAAAACTCAAAAAGCAAAAACAAACTACCTTACTCCAAAACAGACTTAACAAATAAAGTTAACAAGATAACAATAAATAAGTTCAATTATAACTGGCAAATAATAGGAAAACATTATTCCCACTTATTATACTTGCTTATTATACCAGTAGAGACTCCGATCGCAATCTCTACTGGTAGAGACTCCGATCGCAATCTCTACTGGTAGAATCTCCAATTCTACCAGATAGCAGTCTCTACCCTGACATATATATTAAGGCTGTAACGATTCACTCACATATTCGTTGAATCGAACCGTAGCCCTTCATGAATTCAATTCGTTATTCGTGGTAACCAGAACCGAATATTAACGAATATTTACGATTTTTTTTAAGGGAGCACGTGTTACTTGAACCCTTGTGTACTTTTGGAAAGTGAGATGTGCAAGAAGGGATTATGTACTAGCCTTGCAGTAGTGCAAGTCATGTGAGTTTGCCAAGGCTGCACATGGTACTGTTGATTAACTATTACATACCAAATTTTTAGTGTCAGGAGATCACTGGTTATTGCTGTGACAAATTAACACTGTCAACATGGGCGTCCATATTGTGCATAAATAACTTAACTACAATATTGTATTCGTGAATAATTATTCGTATTCATTACCCAATATTCATGATATGTATCATATTCGCCACATGGTGTATTCGTTGCAGGCCTAGTATATATGGACAGTTTCTTGTTTACTATAATTAGAAATATAATTATAGTGGCATGTAAGTCAGACTTGGCTTACTTGAAATATAATATATCTTATAAATATGTATAGCTGAAGATGAACTATCAGATCACTGTGTTATTGTGAGTATATGTATTGTTTATGTATTGAACGCAATCCTAAACGTATATCAACTAAATATCAGACGACTTATAAAAGTAATTACTAGTCTGCTTGGATGCATGCCCGTATGTTTGATATGTGTGATTGATTGACACATATAGGTAATATTACATGTGATTTCATGTTTTATTTATGTGGCAAATGCTATTGTACTGTTAAACATTATTTTATATCATATCACTTGTATATATATTGTTCTCTGCATACATACGTATTTGTTATGCAGATCTGTGATCATTCACAAGAATATCCTCCATTATGATCAGCTTGGGTACAACCAGCCTGGTATGTAATACCTGACCAGATTCCCTATATACCAGAAATGTATTTACTATAATACTTTCTAAAGATACCTACAGTATGTCTGTATGATCGTTGTATATTTGTATTAATATTATGCAACATTATAACTTGTGACATAGTTCAGATGTATTTAATTAGGTGTATCTTATAGACTTAATGAGTGATTTGAACATGTACATATTTATGTGATTCTATTTAATATACTTTCTTATATGTTCTTTCAGGCTGTTTAATAAATAGACCAGAAATAAACAAAATGGCCTCACAACCCACAGCCGTTTGTATTCTTTAAAGGACGCAAACAAGGCGCTGTTATATACTTAAATAGTTCCTATCATGTGCAATATTCGCCATTCGGACCAATATAACAGTTGCATATGAACAGGTTATGAACAGCGATTTAACTTTCATGACCCTGGGGCCAGGTGTTGTGAAATATTCTTTTTACGTCAAATTGATGCCAAACAGGTGCGCGTGTTGTTCATATTAAGATACAAAGTCAAACCGTCTAATTATGGATCTATTCAGGACATTATTTAAATGGTAAAATCAGTCATTTTAAGTTCTGTCGCAAGAACGTTAAATTCAGACATAGAAACCGAAACCTTTTATACAATTCAAGGAAATCGTATATATACTGATCAGCATACCAATGTCGTCTTTTTCCGACGTCACAAAATACATAAAACAAGCAATGACGTCAACTACAATGTTGTAATATTTTCAGTAATTCATTACATTTGAAGATATGGCTAGTACTCGGTTAATAATGATGCAAAATTAGTCAAATACATCTACACAAACAGGAGAATATGTGAATTTAAGAACTAATTTACATATCGGATAGGGCCATTGAAATCGTTTTTACGTGCTTTCTCATGTAGTACATTGTCATTTTTTCTTATAAATTGTGAAACTACTAAAACGTATCTGCTCACTTTGGGGAACTTTGTATTGGAAGTGGAATGTAGTTTGGTTCACGGTGAACAAAACATAAGGAAAATATAGCGTCCGTATCCACAACGAATTCTCTCCAAGTGATCTGAGTTACATTGACCTAGTGTTAAGCATAGCGGAGTTATGCCCCCTAATCTTTATACGTGCATGACCTCTCTGTCGTCGATTGACGTCATAGAAGAAAATCCATTTTTGACATTTATTGCGAGTCATTTTTAATGTTGAGCGTATAACATTATTCATAAGCACATAACTCCAGTTCATATACACTTATGTCGTTAAGATATCTGGCTGTATTTTCTTCTCTCACACTTTCCGTAAAGATGCCACATTAAAAACATCGTAGCACAGTGCTTTTATCGGTGCACAATCAAAAGCAGAGAAATTTACTGTTTTTTAACGCATAACAAAATTTTGGACATCATTTAGCAGTGTTTATTTCTCAAACTGCCGAGGTATTTGCATTTATATTTATACACAAGCGCAAATCTCGCACACGATCACTTTTCAAACCTTTTGAATATGTGCGCCTGAAAAAAACCTCGACATCAAAAAGGGCTTAAGACTGGTAGGTAGCAGTCTCAGGATTTAAGACAAAAAATGATCTCAGTCTTAACTTTTAAGACTAAAAAATGTACATGATCCCCGATTTAAGACACCTTTTTGGACTTAAGTCATTTAAGACACAGTTTTAGAACCCCAGACTTAAGGTCACTTATAGTTCAGGGTAGAAGCCCAGACCTTAAGTTGACCCCTTACAGTTGGCCAGACCCCAGACCAGTTGCAGGGGTAGAACAGTTGCCCAGACCTTACAGTTGCAGGGTAGAACCCCAGACCTTACAGTTGCAGGGTAGAACCCCAGACCTTACAGTTGCAGGGTAGAACCCCAGAGACCAGGGTAGAACCCAGACTTACAGTTGCAGTTGCAGGGTAGAACCCCAGACCTTACAGTTGCAGGGTAGAACCCCAGACCTTACAGTTGCAGGGTAGAACCCCAGAACAGTTGCCAGACCTTACAGTTGCAGGGTAGACCTTACAGTTGCAGGGTAGAAACCCAGTTGCAGAACAGACCTTACAGTTGCAGGGTAGAACCCCAGACCTTACAGTTACAGGGTAGAGGGTAGAACCCCAGACCTTACAGTTGCAGGGTAGAACCCCAGACCCAGTTGCAGGGTAGACCTGACCCCAGACCTTACAGTTGCAGGCAGGGTAGAACCCCAGACCTTACCCCAGACCTTAGTTGCAGGGTAGAACCCCAGACCTTACAGTTGCAGGGTAGAACCCCAGACCTTACAGACCTTACAGTTGCAGGGTAGAACCCCCAGACCTTACAGTTGCAGGATAGAACCCCAGACCTTACAGTTGCAGGGTAGAAGAACCCAGTTGCAGACCTTACAGTTGCAGGGTAGAACCCCAGACCTTACAGTTGCAGGGTAGAACCCCAGACCTTAGTTGCAGTTGCAGGGTAGAACCCCAGACCCAGTTACAGTTACAGCAGGGTAGAACCCCAGACCTTACAGTTGCAGGGGTAGAACCCCAGACCTTACAGTTGCACAGGTAACCCAGACCTTAAACCCCAGACCTTACAGTTGCAGGGTTGCAGGGACCTTACAGTTGCAGAACCCCAGACCAGTTGCACAGACCTTACAGTTGCAGGGCAGAACCCCAGACCTTACAGTTACAGGGTAGAACCCTGACCTTACAGTTACAGGGTAGAAGTTGCAGGGTAGAACCCCAGACCTTACAGTTGCAGGGTAGAACCCCAGACCTTACAGTTGCCCCAGACCTTACAGTTGCAGGGTAGAACCCCCCCAGACCTTACAGTTGCAGGGTAGAACCCCAGACCTTACAGTTGCAGGGTAGAACCCCAGACCTTTACAGTTGCAGGGTAGAGAACCCCAGACCTTACAGTTACAGGGTAGAACCCCAGACCTTACAGTTGGTAGAACCCCAGACCTTACAGTTGCAGGGTAGAACCCCAGACCTTACAGTTGCAGGGTAGAACCCCAGACCTTACAGTTGCAGGGTAGAACCCCAGACCTTACAGTTGCAGGGTAGAACCCCAGACCTTACAGTTACAGGGTAGAACCCCAGACCTTACAGTTACAGGGTAGAACCCCAGACCATATAGTCTGTTGTATAATGCCACACTCAGCAATCCTCCAGCTGTATGGCTGTATATAGTCTGTAAATAATCGGGTCGGGACCAGACAATCCAGGGATCAACAGCATGAGCATTGATCTACGCAACTGGGATACAATGACATGTGCACCTGTCAACCCAGTCAGCGAGCCTGACCACCCAATCCCGTTAGTCGACTCTAACGACAAGCATGGGTTACTGAAGACCAATTCTAACCCAGATCTTCCTGTACTAATACATCAACTGTGTGGTCACTGCAACTGTGGATCATCACATGTTAGCTAAAATGTTGGACGTAATCTCCATCTAGAAGGGTACATACCTTTACAAAGCCTGCATATACTGGTAATCCCCTGTACTGGTGAAACAGGTCTTGTACCTGCAGGAAAAATACTATGTTACGGTTTGTCCATACCAGGAGTAGGTATCGCAAGTGGAAGAGAGTACAACAGTCAACAGGATATCAGAAGTAGGTATCACAAGTGGAATGAGAGTACAACAGTCAACAAGATATCAGACTGACTGACTGACTGAGTTTAGTTTTACGCCGCTTTTAGCAATATTCCAGCAACATCACGTGGAATGGGGACAACAGAAATGGATATCAGAAGTAGGTATCCCATGTGGGGATTACAACCCGGGTCTTCGGCGTCAAGATATCAGAAGTAGGTATCACAAGTGGAATGAGAGTACAACAGTCAACAGGATATCAGAAGTAGGTATCGCAAGTGGAAGAGAGTACAACAGTCAACAAGATATCAGAAGTAGGTATCACAAGTGGAATGAGACTACAACAGTCAACAGGATATCAGAAGTAGGTATCACAAGTGGAAGAGAGTACAACAGTCAACAAGATATCAGAAGTAGGTATCGCAAGTGGAAGAGAGTACAACAGTCAACAAGATATCAGAAGTAGGTATCACAAGTGGAAGAGAGTACAACAGTCAACAGGATATCAGAAGTAGGTATCACAAGTGGAATGAGAGTACAACAGTCAACAGGATATCAGAAGTAGGTATCGCAAGTGGAAGAGAGTACAACAGTCAACAAGATATCAGAAGTAGGTATCACAAGTGGAATGAGAGTACAACAGTCAACAAGATATCAGAAGTAGGTATCACAAGTGGAAGAGAGTACAACAGTCAACAGGATATCAGAAGTAGGTATCACAAGTGGAATGAGAGTACAACAGTCAACAAGATATCAGAAGTAGGTATCACAAGGGGAAGAGAGTACAACAGTCAACAGTCAACAGGATATCAGAAGTAGGTATCACAAGTGGAAGAGAGTACAACAGTCAACAGGATATCAGAAGTAGGTATCACAAGTGGAATGAGAGTACAACAGTCAACAAGATATCAGAAGTAGGCATCACAAGTGGAAGAGAGTACAACAGTCAACAGGATATCAGAAGTAGGCATCACAAGTGGAAGAGAGTACAACAGTCAACAGGATATCAGAAGTACGTATCACAAGTGGAATGAGAGTACAACAGTCAACAGGATATCAGAAGTAGGTATCACAAGTGGAAGAGAGTACAACAGTCAACAGGATATCAGAAGTAGGTATCACAAGTGGAATGAGAGTACAACAGTCAACAGGATATCAGAAGTAGGTATCACAAGTGGAAGAGAGTACAACAGCCAACAGGATATCAGAAGTAGGTATCACAAGTGGAAGAGAGTACAACAGCCAACAGGATATCAGAAGTAGGCACACAAGTGGAATGAGAGTACAACAGGGTATCAGAAGTAGGCATCACAAGTGGAAGAGAGTACAACAGGATATCAGAAGTAGGCATCGCAAGTGGAAGAGAGTACAACAGTCAACAGGATATCATCAGGTTATATAGAGTACAGCATTTGACATGATATCAGCCTACTTACCTTGCCCCGTTTGACCCCACGCAGACTCTCTCCAAACATGTCATCCATCACATCTCCTGGGGCCACCTTGCCCTGTACACACCCCCAGAACACAGGGTTACACATCATAGTCAGCAATAATATGTGGTACATGTGCCACAAGCTGTCACTAGTATGGGGTGTATTGTAAGCATCAGAAGTGGTGTGGGAATTCAGTTCTGACAGGAACAAGAAGTTACAAAGCTACTCTTTATTTGAGCTGGGAATCTGCAAATTATTTTTGCACTGACAGAGCAGGTATTTCACTGATTGTGAGCTTGTTTACTGTCCATATGTTGTGCATTAATTGTCCCCAGGACAATGATGCTGGTGTTGTCACTGATTGTGAGCTTGTTGTTTACTGGTGAGATGAATTTGGGTTTAACGTCGTACTGGAGAATATTTCGCTCAAATGACGACGTGCATGCGTGTGTATGTGTTGTTTACTGTCCATATGTTGTGGATTAATTGTCCCCAGGACAATGATGCTGGTGTTGTCACTGATTCCTACAGCAGCATATTCCCCATCCATACAGTAGTGACAGTTACCAAAATACATTGCTTATCACAGCAGCTTTCTACTACTACTATTCAAGTCTAGGTCAAAAGACCCTTGGTACAAAAGCCCCTCGACCAAAAGACCCTCTCGACAAAAGCCCCTCGAAATATGACCGAAAGCCCCTCACTTTATGTATTAATGGGAACATAAGATTAAAGACAAGAAATTATTAATGACATGAAACATTTTATTGATTCATAATAAAATGATTCTACATAATATGGGAAATCCTAAGTTTGGCTGGGAGAAATGTTGCTTTGCAAAACACCAAGTTCCTTTATAGGTTTCCTCCATTTCCTATACATTGATGCCATAAAATACTTACAATACTTTATAAAATATATAAGAGGAATGAGAAAAGTTCATTATGCTTCATAAAATATTAAATACGTTTTCCCACTTAAAATATTGCATAAAATATATAAGAGCCATGAGAAATGTTCATTCTTTCATGAAATACATGAATCGAGGGGCTTTTGACAGGGATGCTCAAATTAGATAGGGTGTTGTTATGACGACTTACATCCTCTCCAGCAACTCCTTCTGCCTCCACATCCACCACAACCAGGTAGCTGTTCACCTCCCTAAATAAACACAACACTTTACTGTTACTTCTACCACAACCAGGGAGCTGTTCACCTCCCTAAATAAACACAACACTTTACTGTTACTTCTACCACAACCAGGGAGCTGTTCACCTCCCTCAATAAACACATCACTTCAGTTTTACTTTAATGGGGCACTGATCCAGCGCGATTAACGTTTGTCAGCCCCTGCTCCCTCGACAGTGACTGACATGGGGGCAGGGCAGCTGTCCACCTTGACAGAATCTCTTCAAACTAAACAATGGGACAATGAGAACGGTGGATGCCCATCAGCTGCCGTTATCTGAATATATTCCTGGTAGTTCTTGTCTGATTGTAATAAAGTATCCCAGCAGTGTGGGTTTCTTCGGATTTTCTGATGCATGCATGACATGATGACTGATCTAACTTGATACGATTTCTGTCTTTTTTTACCTCAATATTAAATTCTGTCATGTAACAATGCATTGTCTATTGACTTTTATCTTACCTCACACATAAATGTCGTTTTCTGATTGGCTGAGCGCTCTTCTATAATTTTCAATGTACCCCACTTACAAGCGAGTAACATTTCAATGTACCCCACTGTCAATGGCAACTCATTTGGTACTTCGTGGTAAGAATTCTTTATCTCGAATAGCATTGAATCACGTATGATGTACGGAAATTATCGATGTTTTGCGAATGCAAATCAATGGAAGGGAGATAACTCTAAATCTGTTTTTCTTGTCAGCAAAATCTAGCGATGGCTACAAAGAGATTTGTATCCGTGCTTCAAACAATTCAAAATTAACATTGAGGTGTTCGGTAAGATAAATACGTTGTTCACTGGTCCCTCGGGGCCCATGGGTTGATGTACCCTCGATGTTTGTTTATGTTCCCCTCGCCCTTTGGGCTCAGGGAACATTGAGGGAACATCAACCCATGCCCCCCTCGTGACCAGTGAACAACTTATAATGTTTGATATTAAAAACACACATTTAGTCTGGAACCTAATCAACCCCACTTTGTCATTGCTAGAAAAATCTGAAAATTTACTTAGGTTCATAAGTATATACATTTTTCCAACTTTAGTACACAGCAAATGTTTATATGTATTTCTTTTGCAACAATGAAGTTCCGTTCGTATACTCAAAACAGCATCGACCCCTAAGTTTTTTAGGCAATTAAAATTGCATGCAACAAAGCGATTACTACTCCCTTGTTGTAACCCATGTTTGGTGGTATAAACCTACACATTTATTTGTCGGCATTAGCTTGATGGTCAGATAATGAATTTATAACAGGTATAATTAGTAGCAGACCACTCAGATTACCTGACAAATGTTCCCATTTAGCATTTCTTGTGTCTGTTATGTAATATGCATATGTAAGTGCAGCAAGATGAATTATCAGCTGAGTAAAAAAAACAAAGATCGATCAAAGGATTAACCGATAACACGCTATAACACGCTGATTGATTAATATTACTTTTATCTTGTACAGCGAATTTGTCAAAAGGTAGTGTTTGTGTAGATTTACTAATGTACACTGAATACATTAACACTCTGTTGTAAAGTGCCTGTGTAAAAACAACGTCCTTCCTTCAAAGGATTAACCGCCAATACGTTGATTGACTGCTCATTGTTGACTAACTAAATTACTCTTTTAAAGAAAGGTAGACATCATGGAAATAGTTGTCAGGTGTGCTATCTCGGGTGACAATGAAGCTATACACCAATTTGAAAACACTGGAACAGTCACGTGACCAGCTGAAAAACTATCACTAGTTATAACATTATGTACATTTTTTCATACTGTAAATCATGAAATAAATGCATCCCGAATTTAATGCGAGTGCAGGGGTCTAGTCTAAAATGCGTCACAAAATTAATGCGAGCTCAGGAATCTGATGGTAAAATGTGACAACCTCATTTTCTTTTACACTTCTTATTTACCAAATAACCTGAACTGAGCTTATTAAACAACGAATGGAAATGAGCTGACGATGTTTTGATTACGCTGCCATGATTGATCACGTGAATGCTTGCTACTACTTGTCTTATGACAACATTTATAAACGTAATCCAACTTGAAAGACTTCTCTTGAAAGGATTGCTCAAATTAAAAGGTGAGCGAAATGCATCATTATAATAATGCGAGAAGAGTACAGACGCATTTTTTTTGCATTAATAAAATGCTCGCATTAATTTCATGATTTAGCGTATTAGACTGTTAAATGACACATGACATGGAACAGATTTCTTTGTCAGACGCAGAGAAATGGCATATCATTCCTTTAAGTGGATATTGATAGATATTTTCCTTGAACATGGTAATAGCCTGATATTATTGCTTTAACTTTACTCTATTTTAATTTCAATATTTGTTTTTTGTTTTTATTCATTTTTCGTAGCATTCAGCAGAATCATTCCACTTCATTTTTTTTCGTCGTTAAGTTCGATGAGACAGACAACATACACGAGATCGCACTTGCTATCATAATAATGAAGATGGAAATATTAATGAGAATAAAAGATGTAATCTTTGTTGATCAATGTAAGGATATACATATTATACTTATACTACCAACTACACATGCAGGTGGTGCAGCAGAGTTTTCAACCCAGTCAAAAATTCTGGGATATCATATGGGTAGTCGTAGAGGAAAAACAAAATCAACAATCAGTCCCACGGAATTGCTCTGGATCAGTGTCCCTTTAATCTCCTTGTATGTTTAGTACATGGAAGCAATCGCTGAAATAGGATCTGAGTTGTTGCGTAGTTTAGTGAAGTTACTAGTATATTAAATGAAACATTTAGAATTATTTTACTTTAAATTAATGGACAATTTGTCAGGTGGAACACTTGCACAAACTGTAACTCCCCTACAGCACTCAACTTGAACAAGGGGAGGCTTCTATGGATAAACAACTTGTTTATCATTAATGTGAGCGATGGTTCTGTGTAGCTGCTCTGCTATCACTGACATCAAGTAAGTGGTACAGCAAGTGATACTGCATGGATGGCTGCTATATAGTAACATGACTAAAGTTGGCTCAGCAAGGTGATTGATGCTTACACAGTTGATAATACTGATTTGCCAAGTTGGAGGATGTTTACACAATAAAGAGATTGCTTCACAAGCTGATTAAACTAGGAATGCTTTACACAAGATATGACAAGAAGTTACTCACTGGAAATGGATTCCGAGGACATCACATGGTACAAACTCATACTCCCTGTATACCTACAACAGAGGACAACCATAAGGACTGGGAGTAATTACTGACAGTCCCACAATTCTTACTCTGTGTACACACAACCCTCATACCAGGCGATCAAAGTCCATTTCTCCTCGGTTTCATTTCCTATAAGTCTACATATTTATACAAACATGTCATGGTTAACTTTCAGTGAAAAAATATCCTAATCATGTGAAACAAAATTGTACATGCAGATTTATCTTCACTTACAATGATGGTCCAGCTTCACGGAGTGACAGTTAAACCAGAAGTCTGTGCTCTGATACCCGGGAGTTACCTCCCTTGGCCCTTACTACCTCATATTCTCCATGTGTCAAAACTTGCCCCTTTCTGTAACCTCCAAGACGACTCATCCCCCTCTCGATGATTGTTATGTACAAAAATACGACAAACCAATCAGAACGAGTTAATGATTGTGGTGCTTTAATAAAAATAATCTTGAGCACTTAAATTGTTTATGGCATTGTGATTTTTTTAAAAATCATGAAAAATATATATTGCCATATTGAAAGTACAAACAGAGCTAACGGAATTGTGTTGCCTAATTTGAATGTTTTACTAAGGATAATGCCAGTAGTGGTGAGAGATTAAAAACCCACACATGCATTTGTTTACATGACAGCTCTCATGGGTCCAATGGAATGTATTTCTGACGATCTTGAGGGCTTGTTTTGGAGATTGCTAAAAATGTTAGAAAGCGCATGTACAATCATTATTATAAATCACTACGTGTTTCAAAACACGATATAACTAAACAACTTTAATGGCCTAACATTTCACATCTCTGGAGATATTTTAGCCTGATGTTTCTAGGGTCACACATATATATATTTCAGTGTTCATTTAAACATTTCACCAGGGGTAGGTCCGCTAGGTTACAAAAATGTTCAGTTTGAGAAATATTTTTTTAAAGTAATTTTTAACATCTGCTTCGAGATTTAATGTTGCATATTCAATAAAACAAATCCCATTTGTGATTCTCAAACCCTATTTAGAAATATACCTTTGGAACTATAAGGTGAACTGCCAGTAATGATTACATTAGAACATGTGTTCAGCAAATAGTTTTTCTCCTTTTTACGCTTGTATCAAAGATGTTTAATTCTTTAAAAGAAATAATAAAAAAATACCCAAACAGCAATACAATATACGAGTGGTTCGGTGATACTAAGTATCGTTGGAATCAAACAGCATTAGAGTTATTGTTCTTGTTTGAAGTAGTTCTGATGTTCATCTGCCAATATGAAATCCTTCCAGAGGGGCACGAGTCGCTATTCAGCATGTCTAAGAATAAAACGAGTGGGTCATGAATGAATATTCTCCTCTGTGTGGTATGAACAGTATAAAAATGTTCATGTTTTAGACTACCTGATGCTACACAGTGCTTTATTTGACTGACATGAAACGCAGGCTTACCACAATAAGCACCAGTCGTGCTGAGGAAGCAGCGCATATGGATACGGATATAAGGATATGACATGCAAGTAAATAGCACATGACCCTGGTCATGGAAATCTGCTACCTGGGAAACTGAGACAATGTTCTATCAGGGGATGATTGTTTGTAATTCAGAAACCAAATTCCAGCCATCATCAGTGTGATGAGGATCATTAAGGAGCAGGCGATGTGTCCGGAGCAAGTTGTGTTTACCACGTATTATTGGATGAATCAGCCCAAACAGAGCAACGATTACCAATAAAACATGATGGTTGGAAGACGTTTACAGTAGCTGTCGGTGTTGCTTATAGTCCGTCAACTTAACTTTTGACACCCTGTTTTTCACAATTTACATAAAACTCCTGAATATTTTTTAAATGCTACTCTGTTCATATGGTAATTGTATACTGTGACCTAACAAGATATCGATTTTAGTAATTTTAAAATGATTATTAAAGATTTTGCCTTTAAACCTGTCATATAATAATTGTAAAACTGTAGAGAGTTTTACGAGAGGTTAACACACGTGATGGAAAACCAACAACATTGTAAAATGTGTGTCAGCGTGATATGTACATGCACGGGTATTTACATTAGCGTCGCTCAAGTGATGTCAAAGATCATCAACACACAGGTTGTGGTAAAAACAATCTTGTACAAAGATGACCGGTAAATCATCAACTATTTCAAGCGAGACACTTAATGCCACCAAGATCTGCAAAAGAACATAGCAAAAAGTTATCTCCCATGACACTATTTCAGAGACTGACGATGATATGACAGTTAAATCGGGGACCATCTCAAAACATGCAAAGAAAAGATAGCTTGATGAATTCGATAGAAGGGTTGTGAGGGACGTCATGCGTCAGTTAAATCAATCCAGTGAGTCCATATCATCAAGCAAACTGAAGAAAATATTGTTCAAAAGATGACCATGACATCAATGTATCAAAGCATACCATATGCAAGCTGTTGCTCAAATTTGGATCTAGATACAAGAGATTGAGCAACCAGTATTTAAAGACTTCAATAAATCTACTTGTTTAAAATGGATTTGTAATGATTATACAGTCCCTTTAGCTTTGCTTGCAGGCGTAACAATGTAAACAAGATGCACATGTGTCACACCATGTTGTTTGCTGTAATCCATCGCATCATTTTACTCCCTTGTATAACTACTTCTATTTTTCATATTTTTATAAGATGGCTTCGTAAGAAGAAGCTTTAAAAATTGACATAAAATTATGAAATTTAAAGCTTAGATAGGTCATAAGATATAAAGAGTGTATACCTAAAAACATTTTGAAGGCATTTTTGGTTAAAAGGTAAATTGTGAAAAACAGGGTGCCAAAAGTTCAGTTGACGGACTATAGTCTGTTGCACAAAAGCATCCTCTAGATTACATTCTGTGTTAAAGGTAAACCATGTATAAGGATACCAGCATGACAAACCTATATGAACATGTTCCTGAAATGTGATGAACCAGGCACTAAAACACAACCTCAGAGTGTAAGTGACACCCAAGATACCAATACACAGAACACCGAAATATATGTGAACTAATGGCATTTATTGATGAAAAAAGATAGATTCAGTCATACTTAGAGACTAGAGTGAAGAAAAACAAGAAAATATAACGTGAAAAAGGAATGATATATTGCCAGTGGTAGAATATAGTGTAGGAAATAACTATAAAGGTTCACAATTCAAGAAAATCAGGGTTCAAGTTCCTAAGCATGTCTGTCCTGAGCCAGAAAGAGAAGAATATGAGGGAGCATGGGCCAAGGTAGATAACCCCAGGCTATCGAGGCACAATCTGTTTCAACTGTCTCCCTGTCCCAGTACTGTCTGAAGCTGAAGCACCGTGTCGCATCCGATACCTCACTGCTGCAATTGTAACATGCTCACCAAAAGACTTGCATTAAGCCCATAGTAAAACCTTTCACTTACGTCAACAACACAACCAGATCTTTCTCAGTGGCAAAGTGCTAAACAGGAAGACTTACTGGCATTTCCCAGCTGATGTCTAGAAAACTGGCATTCTGAAAATAGGAAAGTAAGCTTAAACTGTAAAAACAATGACTTTGTGAAATGTTACAAACAAACAAAATTCATTTAAATCAGAATTAGACAATGAGTAAGATACTGTAACACAGAACAAAATGCACCAAATTCTAAACTAGCTAGGTGAGTAAGGCTTAAGGAGGATTCAAATTTTACATGTCAACTTAGTATGGATATTTCAGTTATAGCATGTCAACTTTGTGTGGAGAATATAACGTAGCATGTCAGCCTGGTATTGAGCAGTCCAGTTATATTGTAGCATGTCAGCTTGGTACTGAGCAGTCTAGTTATATCGTAGCATGTCAGCTTGGTATTCAGCAGTCCAGTTATATCATAGCATGTCAGCTTGGTATTGAGCAGTCCAGTTATATTGTAGCATGTCAGTTTGGTAGTGGAGCAGTCCAGTTATATCGTAGCATGTCAGCTTGGTATTGAGCAGTCTAGTTGTATTGTAGCATGTCAGCTTGGTATTGAGCAGTCTAGTTATATCGTAGCATGTCAGCTTGGTACTGAGCAGTCCAGTTATAACGTAGCATGTCAGCTTGGTATTGAGCAGTCCAGTTATATTGTAGCATGTCAGCTTGGTATTGAGCAGTCCAGTTATATTGTAGCATGTCAGCTTGGTATTGAGTAGTCCAGTTATATCGTGAGCATGTCAGCTTATGATTGTTTGTAATTCAGAAACCAAATCCCAGCCATCATCAGTGTGATGAGGATCATTAATGAGCAGGTGATGTGTCCGAGCAAGTTGTGTTTACCACGATTATTGGATGAATCAGCCCAAACAGAGCAACGATTAACAATAAAACATGATGGTTGGAAGACGCTACAGTAGCTGTCGGTGTTGTTTATAGTCCATCAACTTAACTTTTGGCACCCTGTTTTTCACAATTTACATAAACTCCTGAATATTTTAAATGCTACTCTGTTCATATGGTAATTGTATACTGTGACCTAACAAGATATCGATTTTAGTAATTTTAAAATGATTATTAAAGATTTTGCCTTTAAACCTGTCATATAATAATTGTAAAACTGTAGAGAGTTTTACGAGAGGTTAACACACGGATGGAAAACCAACAACATTGTAAAATGTGTGTCAGCGATATGTACATGCACGTAGTATTTACATTAGCTGCCGCCAAGTGATGTCAAAGATCATCAACACACAGGTTGTGGTAAAAACAATCTTGTACAAAGATGACCGGTAAATCATCAACTATTCTGCCGTGTGACACTTTAATGCCACCAAGATCTGCAAAAGAACATAGCAAAAGTTATCTCCCCATGACACTATTTCAGAGACTGACGATGATATGACAGTTAAATCGGGACCATCTCAAACATGCAAAGAAAAGATAGCTTGATGAATTGAGATAGAAGGGTTGTGAGGGACGTCATGCGCCAGTTAACCAATCCAGTGAGTCCATATCATCAAGCAAACTGAAGAAAATATTGTTCAAAAGATGACCATGACATCAATGTATCAAAGCATACCATATGCAAGCTGTTGCTCAAATTTGGATCTAGATACAAGAGATTGAGCAACCAGTATTTAAAGACTTCAATAAATCTACTTGTTTAAAATGGATTTGTAATGATTATACAGTCCCTTTAGCTTTGCTTGCAGGCGTAACAATGTAAACAAGATGCACATGTGTCACACCATGTTGTTTGCTGTAATCCATCGCATCATTTTACTCCCTTGTATAACTACTTCTATTTTTCATATTTTTATAAGATGGCTTCGTAAGAAGAAGCTTTAAAAATTGACATAAAATTATGAAATTTAAAGCTTAGATAGGTCATAAGATATAAAGAGTGTATACCTAAAAACATTTTGAAGGCATTTTTGGTTAAAAAGGTAAATTGTGAAAAACAGGGTGCCAAAAGTTCAGTTGATCGGACTATAGTCTGTTGCACAAAAAGCATCCCTCTAGATTACATTCTGTGTTAAAGGTAAACCATGTATAAGGATACCAGCATGACAAACCTATATGAACATGTTCCTGAAATGTGATGAACCAGGCACTAAAACACAACCTCAGAGTGTAAGTGACACCCAAGATACCAACACAGAACAGAACACCGAAATATATGTGAACTAATGGCATTTATTGATGAAAAAGATAGATTCAGTCATACTTAGAGACTAGAGTGAAGAAAAACAAGAAAATATAACGTGAAAAAGGAATGATATATTGCCAGTGGTAGAATATAGTGTAGGAAATAACTATAAAGGTTCACAATTCAAGAAAATCAGGGTTCAAGTTCCTAAGCATGTCTGTCCTGAGCCAGAAAGAGAAGAATATGAGGGAGCATGGGCCAAGGTAGATAACCCCAGGCTATCGAGGCACAATCTGTTTCAACTGTCTCCCTGTCCCAGTACTGTCTGAAGCTGAAGCACCGTGTCGCATCCGATACCTCACTGCTGCAATTGTAACATGCTCACCAAAAGACTTGCATTAAGCCCATAGTAAAACCTTTCACTTACGTCAACAACACAACCAGATCTTTCTCAGTGGCAAAGTGCTAAACAGGAAGACTTACTGGCATTTCCCAGCTGATGTCTAGAAAACTGGCATTCTGAAAATAGGAAAGTAAGCTTAAACTGTAAAAACAATGACTTTGTGAAATGTTACAAACAAACAAAATTCATTCCAAATTCTAAACTAGCTAGGTGAGTAAGGCTTAAGGAGGATTCAAATTTTACATGTCAACTTAATATGGATATTTCAGTTATAGCATGTCAACTTTGTGTGGAGAATATAACGTAGCATGTCAGCCTGGTATTGAGCAGTCCAGTTATATTGTAGCATGTCAGCTTGGTACTGAGCAGTCTAGTTATATCGTAGCATGTCAGCTTGGTATTGAGCAGTCCAGTTATATCATAGCATGTCAGCTTGGTATTGAGCAGTCCAGTTATATTGTAGCATGTCAGTTTGGTAGTGGAGCAGTCCAGTTATATCGTAGCATGTCAGCTTGGTATTGAGCAGTCTAGTTGTATTGTAGCATGTCAGCTTGGTATTGAGCAGTCTAGTTATATCGTAGCATGTCAGCTTGGTACTGAGCAGTCCAGTTATATTGTAGCATGTCAGCTTGGTATTGAGCAGTCCAGTTATATTGTAGCATGTCAGCTTGGTATTGAGCAGTCCAGTTATATTGTAGCATGTCAGCTTGGTATTGAGCAGTCCAGTTATATCGTAGCATGTCAGCTTGGTATTGAGCAGTCCAGTTATATTGTAGCATGTCAGCTTGGTATTCAGCAGTCCAGTTATATTGTAGCATGTCAGCTTGGTATTGAGCAGTCCAGTTATATCGTAGCATGTCAGCTTGGTATTGAGCAGTCCAGTTATATTGTAGAATGTCAGTTTGGTAGTGGAGCAGTCCAGTTATATCGTAGCATGTCAGCTTGGTATTGAGCAGTCTAGTTATATCGTAGCATGTCAGCTTGGTATTGAGCAGTCTAGTTATATCCAGTTATAGCATGTCAGCTTGGTATTGAGCAGTCTAGTTATATTGTAGCATGTCAGCTTGGTATTGAGTAGTCCAGTTATATTGTAGCATGTCAGCTTGGTATTGAGTAGTCTAGTTATATCGTAGCATGTCAGCTTGGTACTGAGCAGTCCAGTTATATCCAGTTATATCGTAGCATGTCAGCTTGGTATTGAGCAGTCCAGTTATATCATAGAATGTGAGCTTGGTACTGAGTAGTCTAGTTATAGTGTAGCATGTCAGCTTGGTACTGAGCAGTCCAGTTATATCGTAGCATGTCAGCCTGGTATTGAGCAGTCTAGTTATATCGTAGCATGTCAGCTTGGTACTGAGCAGATCAGTTATATCGTAGCATGTCAGCTTGGTACTGAGCAGATCAGTTATATCGTGTAGCATGTCAGCTTGGTATTGAGCAGTCCAGTTATATTGTAGCATGTCAGCTTGGTATTGAGCAGTCCAGTTATATCGTAGCATGTCAGCTTGGTATTGAGCAGTCTAGTTATATTGTAGCATGTCAGCTTGGTACTGAGCAGATCAGTTATATCGTAGCATGTCAGCTTGGTATTGAGCAGTCTAGTTATATTGTAGCATGTCATCTTGGTATTGAGCAGTCCAGTTATATTGTAGCATGTCAGCTTGGTACTGAGCAGATCAGTTATATCGTAGCATGTCAGCTTGGTATTGAGCAGTCCAGTTATATTGTAGCATGTCAGCTTGGTATTGAACTGTCTAGTTATATCGTAGCATGTCAGCTTGGTATTGAGCAGATCAGATATATCGTATTATGTCAGCTTGGTATTGAGCAGTCCAGTTATATTGTAGCATGTCAGCTTGGTATTGAGCAGTCCAGTTATATTGTAGCATGTGAGCTTGGTATTGAGTAGTCTAGTTATATCGTAGCATGTCAGCTTGATATTGAGCAATCTAGTTATATTGTAGCATGTCACTTGGTATTGAGTAGTCTAGTTATATTGTAGCATGTCAGCTTGGTATTGAGTAGTCCAGTTATATTGTAGCATGTCAGCTTGGTATTGAGTAGTCTAGTTATATTGTAGCATGTCAGCTTGGTATTGAGCAGTCTAGTTATATTGTAGCATGTCAGCTTGATATTGAGCAGTCTAGTTATATCGTAGCATGTCAGCTTGGTATTGAGTAGTCTAGTTATATTGTAGCATGTCAGCTTGGTATTGAGTAGTCCAGTTATATTGTAGCATGTCAGCTTGGTATTGTGTAGTCCAGTTATATTGTAGCATGTCAGCTTGGTATTGAGCAGTCCAGTTATATTGTAGCATGTCAGCTTGGTATTGAGCAGTCCAGTTATATTGTAGCATGTCAGCTTGGTATTGAGTAGTCTAGTTATATTGTAGCATGTCAGCTTGGTATTGAGCAGTCTAGTTATATTGTAGCATGTCAGCTTGATATTGAGCAGTCTAGTTATATCGTAGCATGTCAGCTTGGTATTGAGTAGTCTAGTTATATTGTAGCATGTCAGCTTGGTATTGAGTAGTCCAGTTATATTGTAGCATGTCAGCTTGGTATTGAGTAGTCCAGTTATATCGTAGCATGTCAGCTTGGTATTGAGCAGTCAAATTATATTGTAGCATGTCAGCTTGGTATTGAGCAGTCCAGTTATATTGTAGCATGTCAGCTTGGTATTGAGCAGTCCAGTTATATTGTAGCATGTCAGCTTGGTATTGAGCAGTCCAGTTATATTGTAGCATGTCATCTTGGTCATTGGTAGCAGTCCAGTTATATTGTAGCATGTCAGCTTGGTACTGAGCAGATCAGTTATATCGTAGCATGTCAGCTTGGTATTGAGCAGTCCAGTTATATTGTAGCATGTCAGCTTGGTATTGAGCAGTCCAGTTATATTGTAGCATGTCAGCTTGGTATTGAGCAGTCTAGTTATATCGTAGCATGTCAGCTTGGTATTGAGCAGATCAGTTATATCGTAGCATGTCAGCCTGGTATTGAGCAGTCCAGTTATATTGTAGCATGTCAGCTTGGTATTGAGCAGTCCAGTTATATTGTAGCATGTCAGCTTGGTATTGAGCAGTCCAGTTATATCGTAGCATGTCAGCTTGAATTTGAGCAGTCCAGTTGTATTGTAGCATGTCAGCTTGGTATTGAGCAGTCTAGTTGTATTGTAGCATGTCAGCTTGGTATTGAGTAGTCCAGTTATATTGTAGCATGTCAGCTTGGTATTGAGTAGTCCAGTTATATCGTGAAGTATGTCAGCTTGGTATTGAGTAGTCCAGTTATATTGTAGCATGTCAGCTTGGTATTGAGTAGTCCAGTTATATCGTAGCATGTCAGCTTGGTATTGAGTAGTCCAGTTATATCGTAGCATGTCAGCTTGGTATTGAGCAGTCCAGTTATATCGTAGCATGTCAGCTTGGTATTGAGCAGTCCAGTTATATTGTAGCATGTCAGCTTGGTATTGAGCAGATCAGTTATATCGTAGCATGTCAGCTTGGTATTGAGCAGTCTAGTTATATTGTAGCATGTCAGCTTGGTATTGAGCAGTCCAGTTATATTGTAGCATGTCAGCTTGGTATTGAGCAGATCAGTTATATCGTAGCATGTCAGCTTGGTATTGAACAGTCTAGTTATATTGTAGCATGTCAGCTTGGTATTGAGCAGTCTAGTTATATCGTAGCATGTCAGCTTGGTATTGAGCAGATCAGTTATATTGTAGCATGTCAGCTTGGTATTGAGCAGTCCAGTTATATTGTAGCATGTCAGCTTGGTATTGAGCAGTCCAGTTATATTGTAGCATGTCAGCTTGGTATTGAGCAGTCTAGTTATATTGTAGCATGTCAGCTTGGTATTGAGCAGTCTAGTTATATTGTAGCATGTCAGCTTGGTATTGAGTAGTCCAGTTATATTGTAGCATGTCAGCTTGGTATTGAGTAGTCCAGTTATATTGTAGCATGTCAGCTTGGTATTGAGTAGTCCAGTTATATTGTAGCATGTCAGCTTGGTATTGAGTAGTCCAGTTATATTGTAGCATGTCAGCTTGGTATTGAGCAGTCCAGTTATATTGTAGCATGTCAGCTTGGTATTGAGCAGTCCAGTTATATTGTAGCATGTCAGCTTGGTATTGAGCAGTCCAGTTATATCGTGAGTACGTCAGCTTGGTATTGAGCAGTCAGTCCAGTATTGAGCAGTATTATTGTAGCATGTCAGCTTGGTATTGAGTAGTCCAGTTATATTGTAGCATGTCAGCTTGGTATTGAGTAGTCCAGTTATATTGTAGCATGTCAGCTTGGTATTGAGTAGTCTAGTTATATTGTAGCATGTCAGCTTGGTATTGAGCAGTCTAGTTATATTGTAGCATGTCAGCTTGGTATTGAGTAGTCCAGTTATATTGTAGCATGTCAGCTTGGTATTGAGTAGTCCAGTTATATTGTAGCATGTCAGCTTGGTATTGAGCAGTCTAGTTATATCGTAGCATGTCAGCTTGGTATTGAGCAGTCTAGTTATATAGTAGCATGTCAGCTTGGTATTGAGCAGATCAGTTATATTGTAGCATGTCAGCTTGGTATTGAGCAGTCCAGTTATATCGTAGCATGTCAGCTTGGTATTGAGTAGTCTAGTTATATTGTAGCATGTCAGCTTGGTATTGAGCAGTCCAGTTATATTGTAGCATGTCAGCTTGGTACTGAGCAGATCAGTTATATCGTAGCATGTCAGCTTGGTATTGAACAGTCTAGTTATATCGTAGCATGTCAGCTTGGTATTGAGCAGATCAGATGTATCGTAGCATGTCAGCCTGGTATTGAGCAGTCCAGTTATATTGTAGCATGTCAGCTTGGTATTGAGCAGTCCAGTTATATTGTAGCATGTCAGCTTGATATTGAGCAGTCTAGTTATATCGTAGCATGTCAGCTTGGTATTGAGTAGTCTAGTTATATTGTAGCATGTCAGCTTGGTATTGAGTAGTCCAGTTATATTGTAGCATGTCAGCTTGGTATTGAGTAGTCTAGTTATATCGTAGCATGTCAGCTTGATATTGAGCAGTCTAGTTATATTGTAGCATGTCACTTGGTATTGAGTAGTCTAGTTGTATTGTAGCATGTCAGCTTGGT